TTGTTATAACAAACTACAGCGTAAGAAACAGCAGAAGGAGAGAAGCATAAGCATTTACTTTAAAGACATTTGAGAGCGGAAAACAGCAATAATGCTTACGAAAAAGAGAAAAACAAAACAAAACATTCATTACAAGAGGGACATAGAGCTCTGTAGTGTTAATTAAATTTCAGTTTTGTCAAGCTCAGTGTGGGTTTTTATCATAAAAACCTGGTCAGAACCCTGCGTAGAAATTGGGACTTAGGAAGATTAATGATCAGAAATGTTTCCTTGAATGTTCTACGCATATTTTAGAAGAATTATTTAGACGCGAGACATTTAGTTTTTTTTTTTTTTTTCCAGAACAAACTGGCTATACATAAGCGGCGGAACAGGTGTAGGGGCAAGGGGGTCCGCAGCCACCCCCACCCCTCCCCCAAAAAAGCAACTAATTCATGATAGCCTCCATATAGTCTCCCCATTGCATTGTATTATACCGTTGTAGTCTCTGGTATTGCATGACTCTCGTATTACTGTATACCCTGTTTCCCTTCCACACTAAAACGCATTAGTGGCTAAAAACGGTACCATCTTTGATGGGGGCATCCGCATTTACTGCTATCCAACAGCGTGAAGTTATCGCCGTACAGCAAAAAGGCGTTTTCAAGAATCCCCACTCTGAGGAACGTTTTCGAAACGATGAGGGTTCCGGTAACCGTTTTCCCCCCGATACGTGTAGGCGGTAGGCCAAACCGGGAAAAAAATCTTTGTTTTCAAACAAAAACGGGAAACGTATGGAGGGAATTTTATATAACCAGATCATAACTTCACCCCCAGTTTTGAAAGCTAGGGTCACTTTGTATGACGGTGCGCAGAGCAAAGTAAACAATAAACAATGTCATCTTAAAATAGAGCGGAAAACGGTGGTTATCCAGCACATCGATCTAGTACCTTTACATTTCTTTTGTTGTGGTTCTGTTTAATGTATATCTGTTGCAAAAATTGAGGGTTTTTTTTTTTACCAAATCAGAAGATCTAAAACTGTTGTTAAGGTTTTCACGAATGTTGAGGCCTTTCAAGACATTTTTTTTCCTGCTAAATCACGGAGTTACAGTCTCACGAAAATTGTCTTATCCAGGTTTAAGCTATAAGGTATGTAACAATCATAAAGCTTGACTTAGCCGAAACGTCGGTGGCAAATCAACAATTTTCTCGCGTGATCAGGCTTTCTGTTGCACCACCTTGTGAGATACGATAGCCTGAGAAAACATCCGTTTCTCCTCCCTCTTCGCCGCTGGGGACGTTTCGCGTTTCGCGTTTCCTTCGCGCGAAACGTCCCCAGCGGCAAAGAGGGAGGAGAAACGGACGTTTTCGTAGGCTAGAGATACGACGTCTGACGTCAGCTAAACCTACAGGATCAACGATTCAGCCTGGGAATAGCCGCGTAATCAGGCTTTTTTCAACTGTCGAAAACGTATACTGCTCCATAACAAATACTTTTCATAGCGAGGTGTTTCGTTAAACACGTCGACGTGACCCGAGTTACAAAGAAGAACTTGCTCATTTTCAGCTTGCAGTCTAAGAGGTAACGAGGCCGATGCATGGCGCCACCTTGGAGCGAGGCTGGGCCTAACCTCGTTCCTGTGTCAATTGTTCAGTTTACGTTCAGAATTTTGAGTTCATCCAGGTGGGTCTGAGTTTAGGCAAATTTCCCTTAAGTTAGTTTATTTTGTCCTCTTAATGATGCTCCACATTGGTTTTTGCAATTAAGATTCAGGTTTTTCCAAGGAACATTTCTACTTAGATCAAACGACTGCCTGGAAAACATAATTATCGTTGATGCCTTTAGCCAGCCGAAAATGGCAGGTTGCTGTCTCTTTTAACCAGGGTTTCAACTTATAAATAATCAATGAAATCAACTACTCTGAACGGTTACGCAAATCATTCGAACTCTTTTCTTCATTTTATTTTTCAAAACCAGGCTCGTACGTGGCTGTTTATGTCATTTCTTAAGACATTTATAAAAGGGTTCTTTATTTGCATAGATATAACAATATCTTAATTTTCTCCATTGAAAATAAAATATGTGTGCATTACTGAGTCGTTCTTTTATTTAAAGCTCATAGAAATTGAAACCGATAACCATACAGCTCACGTAAGTTATGATAGGGTGAGAGATATGTATCACTTAACGTTACGTTGCTCTGCAAAAAAAAAAATCATGCGCCCAGTTTAAACCGATAATTTCTTAAGCTGCATGGACTTGCCTACCAGTCCCTCTACAACTAAAATGTGGAATTAGACAAAATAACGACGTTGAATATTCTAAGAGCCGCTAAAAGCTTATTTTAGAGAGTTTACGTAATTATTTTTGCAAATGTATATCATCGATATCGTAAAGGATTTACCAAGCAGGTCCGTTTTTGACTGATAGTGTCAAAAGACAAAGTATCGAAGGACTTGTTATACATTGATGGCTGTGTTGCCCTTGCGTCTAGATTTCTTGTCGCCCCGTAATGAAACAATAGCTGAACTGAAAATTGCCCCAATTAAGGAACAAATCACTTCTTTGTTTTTAACTACAATTAATAAAAACAGTTAAAAAGAATTAATGGTGTTGCGGTGCATTTTTATGACCGTAGTATGTCCAGTATTTTTTTTCTATATATTGCCATCGAGAGATACAAATTGATCGTGAATAAATGCCATAAGGCATACATTACTACGCAGAATAATGACCCTGTAGCTTTCAATCTAGCGGCGTTCAACGGAAAATAAACCAAACCCCGCGACTTGAAGCTCCAATCAAAGAAAACCACCATGTCTATCAATGAATAAAGTTTTAGAAAAGACTTAGAAGCTTCGCTTCAAATCAATGTCTCAAATGAGACTGTCGTTTGAATGGACTTAATGGCGCTTTAAATTCATAAATCAAGACCCAATGCAACATAGAGTATTATACTTGAGAATGTAAACGATGAAATGAGCTTTCAGTGAAATTAATGCTAAAGGCAAACGCTTTTTTACATGTACTTCCCATTCGTGGTATAAATAAACAATACCGACAGGCCTGTTTCTGCGAATCTCTCTGCACCATTAATTATGGAAGAAGCTTTTGCGAGTAGCCTTAAATATCTTCTTTAATTGGCTTTAAACGAAGCAATAAGCTTGACAAAAAAGAAAGAAAGAAAGAAAGAAAAATATTATTATAAAATAAAACAAGTAAGAAAATTATTTATCATTTTTAATGTGAAAATGTTCATTCTAGTTCAACTTCAGATCACATCTTCAGTCTCTGGTTAGCAAAGAGGTATTCTATTGAAACCTGCTTAAATAATATTACATTTTACGCCAATAGAATTTCCTTCATAGCTTATTTTCATTCACCGCTTATTGAAAATCAACTTTGGTTGAACAAGCGATGGTAATTTTAGCTGTTACGGCTGAAACACCTTGGCTACTGTTGAAGAAAGGTCGGTTTTGACCTTACACGACAGTGCCAACATCACGAGTTGAATTTGACCGAAGCTGAACAAACACAGAGGTCTTTTGCATGTATAATTTTCATGTAACCGAAGAAGACAATTCCTACTCGTATACTTGATGTTTTTGTGGAGTTGCCTTTCACGGGGTTCAATATCGAGCCCATAAGCTTATCTAACGACCTTGCGGTAAGTAGATACCACATTTGAAGATAAATCATCCGACCCAGATGCACTTCTGTGACCGACCCTTAGCAAAAACGTAATTTTTTGTGTTTTAACAAGTAACAGCTTAACCACCTACACAAACTGTTTTGCTCTCTTTGTTGTACAGAGACTTCCGATGTCACCTTTTACTTCAGCACATCCATTTGGTTTAATTACAATAACGCTCTGTAGTCTTGATAGCAAACCTTTATGACTTATAAATTCAATTTTGATTTTAGCTAAATCAAACAAAGTTAAACAAGCTAGCCTGTGATATTTTTGAAAGCGACACTACTAATTTTAGGCGTATGGTTTAATAAATTTGAAGCGTAAAGTTGGCGAAGGTGAAAGTGGCATAATCAGTCTGGGGGCGCCTTAGTGACTCGGTTAATTCAAAAAGTCTTTAGCTCAAAGGAAATCTGACGAAAAGAAGAAACAGAAACGGAAGCTTTTTACTCAGCGGAACAGAAAAGCTGAACAAGTTAACCATGCTGCTTTCGAATTCACTAGCAATTATTTGATTTTCGTAAAGGTAGTGCTAGGTAACCGTTGGCTAAGCCAGAAAAATGAGAACTTCCTTTAACGAAAAGTTCAACAATAATTATGAATTGTCTTGGGCGATTGTCGTAATGAAAGAAAATTGTTAATTAAGGATAACTTTGCAATAAGTTACATGAATTAACGAGTTCTCTTGTAATGAAAGAGTCTTCGTTATTGTCTACAAATTGAAGGAAATCTATTTAACCTCGTCGTCCAATCACGGTGCTCAGTAAAATCATGCCAAACAGCTGGATTGTATAAATATTGGAAACAGGACCACTTGCTTTCATAAACTGTGCAACTTCGCTGAGCATAAGGTAATGCAAAGACGTCTTTAGGAAATATTTAAGGTAAATGACTACTTTAAAGAAAATTGGTAAATATGCTGTGATAACGAATCTCAGGTTGAAATTAACGAAAAATTGAAATGCACGAAAATGGGCAAGGAGAAGTGTTGTCTCTATTGAATAGTTTAATCTGAGTTAATTGGTGCAAAGTCACGGTCTTTTGCCTGGCTTTTTTTTAAAAAAAAGATAATCAATGATTATTGTTGGAGAAGTTGGCCAACATGTTTTTAGAAGTTAACCGGCTTTTAAATACTACCGTAAAAGGCAGTAATTAAATTGAAGAGAAGAAATGAGTTATCACAGTTCGATTTTCTTGTGTGTGAGATTAAGTAAGCTGCAGAACTTTGTCCGATGCTTAAACATGCCACGTTCTTGTTTTTAAAGGCAGTTAATTAGCTTTCACTTTGTTCTTTTATAGCCCAAAAAGAAAATTTACCTTGTCAAGATGCCAAGATCGTTCCTGATTAAGAAGAGGCGGCAGAATCCTACCAAGATGGAAAACAGAGACGTCGAAGTTCCGAACATCGCAAGGCAATCTTCATCTGAAAAAGTTGAAGGTAAATATAATCGCTAAATGTTCGAACTGAGCTCTGTAATATGTTCCGAATAGTTTTTTTGCTATGTGACTCTCATCGTATCATAATTCTAAACCTGCCCTAGCAAAATCGCCGTCTCTATATGATTCATGAGACAATTATATCAATCAAATGAGCCTCTTTTTTGTAAAAGTACATAATTTGTCCTCAAAGATCGCAGAGGTATCAATTCGCCAAAGAGGTGACAAAATAAATAATTGAAACAAAGACGTTAAAACTGAAAATGTTGAACTGAATTTCAAATGACAAACTTGCCTGTTATTGGGGGCGGTTTACATTGCTGTCGATGATTTAACTTTTCGTTACTGAAACACGCCTGAGACTGATCTGATAAAATTTTTTAGCCGAGGAGTAAGAGAATGAATTAATTGTTATCTGTTTCCAAATTTCTTAACACATATTGCATGGCTGAATATATGAAAAACATGCCCTTTTCACCTTGCCCTTCGCAACTAAGGCTCTGTATGTCCACACGAATCTTTTTTCATTTTAATGTCGCTCCTAATGGGATGCATTTTAGAATCGTTGTGAAAGGAAGAAAATGTTCATCGAAAATCTAGACATCAAAAACGCCTTCCAGGGGCGTATGACATTACTACTCCTTGGGCGCTTTAAACCACGGTTAGCGCTTGATAAAAATTGCTCCATTTAATGTATTTAATGCTGCATCCATTATCTATCAGGGCAATTGATCGTCAAAAATAAGAAAATTATAAATGATACTGATTGCGCGATCGCGTAGACATTAACACATACACTAGCGCCTCGGCACTGCCAGTCTCAGCAGTCTTTAAGAGTATTCTGTAGAGATTTAGCGCGCGGCGTAAACGTTTTGAACTGAGATTTCGGAAGTGAGACTACCTGTGTGGAACTACACTATTTGGTGCGTGTTCGGTAAGTCGGAAGTGAGAACTTAACTTTCGAATTAAAGCGCATTAGTGTGAACGGGCGCTATAAAACTTTTGGTGTACTAGTTATTAAATCAGCCAGTGGTCAAATAAGCCCTCTCACTCGAGTAAATCCGTTTAATAGGTTTGTACAGAATCGACGCATTTAGTAATGATGACAAGAAAAACCGGCTACGATTTAGCATGGCTCCGTACTTTTTGTGTGCGTAAAATTACATTTTTATTACTAAACCTAGATACTCTTATGCAGTCTCCGTTTTCTTTCGCTAATCGATTTAAGTTATTAGTTTTATAAATGATAACATTAGGGAGTTTACGCAACGAGGACGGCGACGGCTATGAAAACGTCACTTAAAAAGTGAATATGCGCTACCTCAAAATTAATCTCGCTTATTTCAGCTCCTTTAATTCGTCAAATGTTGGCAACTTTTTTTGGAGTTGAATTCTAAAGGACTGCATCAAAGTTCAGGAAAAGAAAAAGAAAGTTGTTGTCTTTTGTTCCCGTCCTCGACAAGACGTGAAATTAGGCAGTTTCACGTTGTACGTAGTCGTGCAACGACGGCAGAGAAATGTACAAAAAAGCGTGATGCACGTGCAAAGTCGTTGTTTTGCTTGTCTTAACCTATTGCTTTTTTGCCGTTCTCGTTGCCGTCGTCGTCGTTGCCTAAACTCCCTATTGTGAAGTAGAAGACCTTTTGGCTTGGGTCGATCAGGCGAGACTGAAACAGGAAAATTGGGAAAAAGAGCGGGAGCACCTCTTCCCCTCAATTTTTCCTCTCTCTCCATCCCTTTCTCTTCCTTCTTCTCCTTATTTCCCAGCCTGTTCAGGCTAGGGATATTTCGAACTTCAGTGATATTCTTAAGACAAGCGATCTCTATCCAGTTTAAACGATTGGAGTGCGCAAGCCACCTGATTCGAATGTATTTCTTACTTCGACTCCTGATAAAGAAATGAAACCTTTTTTAATTGTTTGTTGGTTGAGTCAGTCTATCTTGATATCAGTGGATAACTAGAAAACGATTCAAATTGCTAGCGAATACCCTGAGAGCACGCTGGTTTATCAAACTTGGCACTATAGTTAATAATTCGCCGTATCTAAATTTTTGTCGGCTTTATGTCTATTACAGATGTGGAACATCATGGTAATTCGCTAAGCAACAAAATGGTTACCACCGAGGTCAAATTAAGCGCTCTCACAGCACGGTTCTTGGAAAACAGAGAAATGAATTTGAAATTTCCTTCACACTTCCAAACGCCACAAGAACTTTCATTAGAGCAGTCAGATGAGCAATCTTCCGCAAAGTACACCACAACTGCTGTCAAGTGGGGCTTGACTTGGGAAAAAGAGAATGAAAATGGCTTTGATGTAGATTTTTTCAAGAACGAGGGCTATATTCTTCCTGCGATGATAAAAATAGAAGATAGAGATGATGAAGATAGGGTGCAAAATATGATGTGGGGAAGGAACGACTGGCAAAACTCGTTTGTACAAGGAGGTGTCCTCGAGAAGGACGAGGCGGCCGAGTGTCTTCTCCCAGAAAGAGAAAACTATGGCAGCGAGACCATTTCAGACGTGAAAAATAAGGAAGGTTTTGAGAAGTCAACCCTGTTTCAAGAAGGTCCTGTCCTGAAATGTGAAATCGAAGAGCCAGTGGATCAAAGACCCCTATCAGCCTCCAGTTTGAAAGATACGAAAGAGGCGACGTTCAGTAGTGATAGCGAGACCAAGGAAACACTCTTACAGCAGCAACATGCAAAAACAAGTAGCTCTTCGAGTAAAAAATATCGCTACACATGTGATGTTTGTGGTAAATCATTTAGCCGTTCCAATACTTTGACAACACACAGAAGAATTCATACCGGAGACAAGCCTTTTATCTGCGAGCAGTGCGGCCGTGCCTTCCGACAGCCTGGAAACCTGACGCGTCACCGATTAACTCACACTACCGTCAAACCGTACGTGTGCACGCAGTGCAACAAAGCATTCAACCGTGCTTCTAACCTGCATACCCACATGCGCACGCACACCAACTACAAGCCGTTCATTTGTGACTTCTGCGGAAAAGGGTTTCACCAGAAAATCGACATGAAGATCCATCGATACACCCACACAGGCGAAAAACCACACAAGTGCGACAAGTGTGGACGCGGTTTCAAGCAGCTGACACACTTGACGTATCACCTGAGAACCCATTCCGAGATGCGTTTATACCAGTGTGAATACTGCGGTAAAGGCTTTAATCAAAAAGGAAACCTACAGGCTCATATCTACGGTCACACTGGAGAAAGGCCCTTCAAATGTCAGGTTTGTGGCAAGGGATTCACGTTAGCGTCCACGCTGAACACACACAAGAGGACGCATGCGCCCAAGAAGCCTTTCCAGTGCCAGTTCTGTACCAAAGCATTTTATCAAAAGAATGCGCTTAAGACACACTATATAGCTTCCCATCCGTTTGCAAATGGTGTTAGCCTTTTGTAATAAACCAACCAATCTGACTTCAACATTTAGCAGACGTTCCGCTTTTCCGTGCAAATGGGCAATCACAATTAATCAGTTGAATTCATTCAAATAAACTCGTGATAATTTTCTCAGGCCCAGTCCACACGTATCCGGATACTTTTGAACTGAAACGTTTTCTGTCCGGATTCAAAAATTTCCGCGTCCGCGCGTGTCAGTATTCAAATCGAGTTTGCCCGTCCACCGTATCCGACACGTATCCGTATTCTCTCCAGTACCTAGGACTCCCCTGGGATGGCAACAGGGCATGCGTCGTAAAGACGGGTAAGAGAGAGAACCTGGGAACGAGGTTGCCATCTTGAATACAGTATTCAAGGTTAAGAACTGGACTCGATCTTGTTACGTCACCGGTTTAAAAAAAAAACAGGTTTACCGTCCAAACGATTCCGGATTCATAGCGTATTAAAAAATTTCTACTCTGGAGAGCGGATTCAAAAAGGGGCGGATTCGTATGCCGGATTCATCGAATACGTGTGGACGGAAGTAGTATCCGCAAAGAAAAATTTGCGGATTCAAAAATATCCGGATACGGGTGGATGGGCCCTCAGAAGCTTGCCACATAATCACTTTTCAACAAAGAGCAACAGTCTTCTTTTGGTGTTTCTTGATGTTTAGAAAGTTTTTTGCTACGTACCATTGTGCTGTGGTGCGGTTTATTCAGTTGCAGTTTTGATTACACCTTCTGCAACAATAAGTAAATGAAAACATTTTAAAAGGTAACTGAATGACATTTTTTCGTGTTTATTCTTGCCTGACAACATAAAACAAACGTTTTGTAATGAGGTACAGTAATATGCATTTTGTTCCATTGTTTCCTTTCTCTTTCCCCAAAGGAAACTTCATTTGTGTGTACATCATAACTGAAAAAGGAATCCAAGAAGATAATTTATATGATATGATGTAATGTGAAGCCACAGTTATATTTAAGAATGTATAGAAATCCAGTGCTCATGAACTAAAGAAAAACCGTCCATTATTGCGCCGGTTTCAGTGTTTGCCACTATTTATTTCGGTTACAATAAGTTATATCAGCTTATCTGTTATCTCCACGCTTTCGTAACAAATTTGCTAGTACATTTTAACCTTTTGTTTAATACACAATGCAAGTGATATCTTACAGAATATTTAGTATAGAACTGTACTAGGTGCCGGGTGTTTTGCCGACAAAATAAAGTATTTATTCAACGAATTGTTCTTAGTTGTTACTCAATTATCTTGATTTCGTTGTGTTGTTATATGGGAGATTATAGCTTGAGTATCATTTGGGACGAGCTCTTTTTGCGCCTAGTCTAGTCCCTGAACAGCGTCTTCCCAGGCCTTGTCGGTCAGTAGACCTCTTTAATTATTAGCTTGTATGTTTTGTTTTCCCAATAGTGGTCCCAAGGAAGCTTGACCCTTTGCCTTTTCATAAATTAGTTATGCGTAGATATACACGTGAGTGAGACGAATTTGAAAGAAACAGTTCTCGAAGGGTATTATCACATGGCCTGTGTTGGGAAAACAAAACATACAAGCTAAAGAGGTCTATTCATTTCGGTGGCGTAATCAAATCTGATCTCGAACGGACTTGAAGTATTGTCTGGGCTCCTGACAGAAAAGTAACATGATTTTGTTCCGACATATAGAGACTTGAATGTTTCTTAGGGGCAGCTGTATGAGAATAGGGTGTGGTCTTCATACGAGCCAAGTGCCCCATCAGCTCGGAGCTTAACCAGGTCGCCTGCTAAATTCCCCCCCCCCCCCCCCCCCCCCACAAACCACCCACCAACATCGCTCCCCGCATCCTACCCCATTTTGTTCTAACTCAATTCGTGAGTGACGCGTTGCTCCTCTCGCTGGACATACACGCAGAACTATTTCTCTCTAGATAAAAGCGCCTCGACAAACCACCAATCAAGATCACTGCACATATAATTTTTTTTAAGTTTTTTCTGGGCTCCTAAAAAAAAAGTAACATGTTTTTTTGCCGACATATAGAGCCTTGAATTTTTTTTGGGGGGAGGTTTATGAAAAAAGGGGGTGGGTTTCAAACCAGCAAAGGGCCCCACCCGCCCGGGGCTTAACCAGGCCCCCCGCTAATTCCCCCCCCCCCCCTCCCCCACCACACACACACACACACACACACACCGAAATCGAGTGCTAATCCATCACAGTTTTAATGCCCAGCAGAATGTCGCTGTATCCGTGTTTGCACCTGGTTCAAGATTTACAACACAGTTTCTCTTTTAAGGAAGGAACTCCCCAAAACACATGTAAAACGACACTAGGCTTCAATGTTTTTGTTACAATAACAATGCATAAATTTCTAAAAAAAAATTCCAAAGATGTGCAACGGAAAAAAATTTTTGTTGAATGGAAATATGTACGACGGCCGCAAATTATAGAAGGAAATCAAGCATTTGAAAAACACAACACAGCAGTTCAGTGTGTGGAAAAAGGTTTCAGATACATGAATATCATTGATAAGGTGAAAGAAAATAGGAGTGGGTTTCGCTGATTATCTATGCAATTTTAATATTCAGGAAATTATACAGCAGATCGAGTGGCGAAATTGTTACTGAGCCATCCCCTTTAAGGTTTTGAAACCGCGTTACAAAGAGTATCAGAGTATAAAATACACTTGTAAAGGCAAAACCACAACAATAAACTAGTGAGATCAGCCAGATCTTTAGTAGACCTGGATCAGTAAAATCTTCAATACCAAATTTTAAATTAAAACATAGCAAACAGAAATTGTTGGGCTAGGAACAAAAATAAATGTCACTAAGTTGTCATTAAGTTCATCGCGTCTAGTGTATATAATTATGTGTGCTGAAAATTGTACAAATTTCTACTTTTGTGATGGGCTCATCTATCGTAGGCTAAAAAGATCAAAATTGGGGGGCATGACGCCACGTCAACTATGAATTCACTCATATTCTCAGCAATTCTCAGCAACCAAGAATCCCAATGGATATCTTTACGAGAAAGTGGATATAGATGTTGACCAACTTTGCAGGTGGCGATTGGAATGTATTCAAACTGTTATTTCTGAACAGGTGGTTAATTGTGATTCGACGTTTAATTTATTTTTTGGCGATGGTACATCTCTGAATTATGATAGAAAACAACATCAAAAAATTATAACTGCTGTTCACAGAGGTGATACAAGATTTTCGAACTAGAGGAGATTCATTTACGGATTGCTGCAATAGTTTCAGAAAGCGGTCGCCAATCAAGATGAAAGAAAGAGACGTTATTCTACAAGGTAGAGAAAACGAATACAGCTCCTTGGAGGACGAAGAGCATATAAAGAGGAGAGCGCAACGAGGGGAGTTGTCCGTCGATTTCCTCTTCTGTTGTTTCTTTTGGTGTTCTTGTATATGGTGGGTGTAACAGGTGTAACTTAGAAACTGACGCTGAAAAGAATATTTCAAGAGACGCTCTATATTCCACAAGGTGGCTTTTATCTCTTTTATTATATAATTTGGACACAGGCTTAGTACGGTAGGTTTCATATTGAAAAGAAAATGGAACAGAAAATTACACCGCAGACCTCAATCTTATTTCTAATGCACCTGCGTTATTACCTTTGTTCAGTTGAACTTGCTACATTCTTTTGGTGCTGACCAATAGGATCGCAGCCTTAGGGAACATGATGTGGACCTCTTTGTGTCTTAACAATTGAATAGAATCTATTATGTGATCTACGCTTCAAGATGAGCAATTTAAAATTCACAAACGGCAGGTGGTGTTATCCCACCAATCCAAACATGAATGATCACGATGATTTCCTGTATGTACATCCCATAGTGGTTCTTATAACTACGCAACTTATCTCCCGAAGGAGCCTTCAAGGACATTTCAAGAATTTATGGAATTCAAGGACCGATCGTTAAAGGAATTTTTTAACCTGCTTTCTCAAGAATGTAAAATTTTTTGATGCCAGGCATCATCTCTAAGTTTTACAGATACTCACGGTATAATTTAGTGACGACGTTAATAAACAGTTTAAAGGTTACGTATGCCATTCCGGCTCAGTTCTAAGACTTTCTGTCGTCATTTTAAAGGTAATGTTACTACAGTTGTCTCAAAGACTATTCTATTTCGTCATTTCAAATTTTTAAATGACGAAAAAGTATCATTTGTGTACATTATTGTTCAGTTGCAATCTCAAATTCCAGCGAAGGTGAGGAATTTCTAAAACTTTAAAATGCGTAATCGATGTCTAGTCCCTTAGATGATGCTCCATGGCTAGGAGATAGGCCAATTCAAAAAAATAACCTCGTTTCTTTTTTAAGAGGGCACGATGTGCACCTGATAGTTCCAATATCGTCTGCGTACTCTGAATTCAATTGTACCAAAGTTAACAACTAGGACTGGAATAAATGAGTTCCGAAGGGGTCCAACTTTACAGAATACATGAGAATGCTTAACAATAATTCCTCGACCCCGAATGGGCTCCTGAGTCAAGCGTTTTATAGCTTTTTTAATTGGGGGGGGGGGGGGGTGGTGGGGGTAGAAGAATTGTGGGAGGGGTGGGTTATGGAAATGTCAGACTTCATTTCGCGAGAAACCAGAAGTGGCGTAGCGAAATGTCGGCTGTTTTCTCAGGCTACGTGTGTTCCTGATCACTCTCGTAATTTAGCTTGTGCCACTCACCTAAGTACATAATAGGGAGTTTAAGATACCACGACGGTGACGGCCACGAAAACGTCGTTTAAAAAGTGAATTTGCGCTCTTTCAATCTCTCTCGCGATTACTTCAACTCATTTACAAATGCAAGCGAACTCTTTTGAGCCGAATTCCTAAGAACAATATTCAAGTTCAGAAAGAGAAAGAAAATTTAGCCGTCGCTTGTTTACGTCCTCCATAAAAGGTGAAATTAGGTATTTTCCCGTCGTAGTCCTGCAGTAACGGCAAAGAAATGTACAAAAAAGCGTGATGCACGTGCAAAGTTGTTGTGTTGCTATTTAACCTGTTGCCTTTTTGACGTTCCCGTTGTCGTCGCCGTCGCGGCATCTTAAAGTCCTTAATACCTACCACCAGCATCAAAAATGGTGCCCTAGGCCCACTCCCACCTCTCCCACCAGTACTACTAACAGTAGTTTCCGCGATACCAAGAAATAACCAACAAAAGGGGGAGATGAAAAAAAGATGAAGGGTATATCTTTGCTTATCTTGAGACAAAAACACTGTGACAGTGAGGCAATCTAGTTAGTTAAACGAGCTGTTTAGATTTAATATATTTTACAAGGTTTAAATATTTGTACAAGAGTTACAGTCTAGAGCGACTCAAGGTATTTTTGAAGAGCATTTTTAAGAATACAATCAATAACTCAATTGCCACTATGGCAATGACGACGTAAAGTCTCAGAAAGCTCCAAATTAGTTTAAACTTGTCACTGGACTAAGCCAAATTACCTTTTCGTATATCACAATAATTCAACTTCCGGTGACCCCGTCTAACTTAAACCAAAGTGGACTTTTTACTCTCTGTATTGAAATGTAGCCCCTTTGTCGACGCACGTGTTTGCATACAGTCAACTATTACTTAGCAGACACTTCAAGCTGGTTCCTGCCATGACAAGTAGTGCATCATTCGCCAAATCAGTAAAACACAATTTGGATAACATTTAACTTCTGACGAAGAATAAAAAGGTTCTGGCAGCAAAGTTGAAGAGGTGCCATGTATGTATTTGTCAAAAATCAGACTGGCGCATGACATAGTGGGCAATGGTTCAGAGCGCTGATTTCTTGCTCGTAGGCTCGGTGTTTACATGTGCCACACATCCAGAACTGATAGTCCATCAGCGGACGACCACTCACAATGCATGTTGGGAATTTGGTATCACAATTTGGACAAACTTGGCTCCTATGAAAGACGAAAACGAAAAAATCACACCAAGAAACAAATTTCCGACCAACCATTTTACCAAACAATTCACAAGATACAAAGAGACAAGAGGTTTATAAAACAAACAGCAAGGAAATTATGTTTTTAATCTTGGCTCCGGAACTTGGTGCCTTGTAAGCTCAGATGAAAGAGTACAGGACGAGGTTAAAAAACTTTTTTCCAATTAAATTTCAAGTTAGCTTAGTTCTGGTTCAGGTTAGATATGCAAGTGGCTCGATGATCGGGCCGAAATAGCGGTCCCGAGTACAGCCACCGCATTGCGAAATTCTTTTTAGGGGAAAAAAAGGAGTGGCCAAACACAGGCCAACCATAGCCCACATGTAGACCGAAATAGCTGGTGTTATTTTTAAGTGCATGCAACACCCATGCCTACGCTATATATCATTCAGTTAAGTTTTATTTACCACAAAAACAAAGCACATAAATACAGGATTACACAGAAGCAAATGAATGTGGCGAGGAAGCCCAGAACGAGCCAATAGGGCTTATAAATATTGGGCTCCCTCAGAGTATGAAAGTATATGTTTTAAAGACCAGGATGTAGCATATACTGAGTTGTGTAATCATGTTAAACCAATAGCAAGTAATCCAGCAACCTAACTGTCCAACACTTATACATGTACATACCAATCAGGGATCATAGTTTCGCAGCTAGTGCACTCTGCCTTGTTACCGCGCGAATCCTTTGGTGAGTGTCTACAAACAACAAGATACAATCAATTCTCTGTAACACGGGCAATTCTAGGACCAGTCATGCCTGTCTGTCTTAGAAAAGTGTTCACCTTATGGCGGAGCTCCACGCGCGCGCGAAAAGCGGAGCCCAAAGGCTAAGAAATTTGGTTATATATCCATCCGAGAAATTTTGGAAGTCACGTGACCGTCCGTCCGTCCAGCGGAAAGCAACCAATTGCACATCCAGGTTGTGATCAATTGATGGCTGTCAAAACAGAATATCCGCTGACTAGTATCACATGGGCTTAGGTGTCGACCCATCGAGTTTACGATCTTTCTTGGAGATATCCGCTGTTAAGTTACTAGTTATCAGCTAATCGCAGGCTCAACTCCAAGTGGATTTCTTTGCAATGGTTACAAGTCTACTGTTTGAAGTAAATTGTGTGCCATATAAAACGGTTGTCACCGTGAAGGAGTTTATTACGATATAGCGCGCAGCCCCACCCGTGAACCCAAAATACTGACAACTACCCATTCGAGTTCTGAGGGGTTTAAATGAGACATACTTAGTGAATATTTCCAAAGCAAGTTCTTCATAAGCATTCTTCTGTTCCTGTGTGAGACTCTCAATCGACTCCAACTTGATAAAAGCCTGAACAAAAACAAAATGCCCCCATAACAGGTACAGTTTATGATATTCCTGGATAATCTATATCTATTTACAGAGTTTGGGACAACACCCGATTACGCTTTGGAGAAGTAGGATCAAGCTAATGGCTATTCACAATTTGAAATGAATCGAATATTTCCGATCTTAGGACCATCAACAGACAGAACTAACAATTTTGAAGGAGTCCATATTACGGTATTAGTTAGCTTATGCAATGGGACGGAAGATAGAAGAGAACGGCAAAACGTTTGTGTGTGATAAACGTTTCAGTTTTGTCGTGATCTTAACCTTACTGTGTTCTGAACTTTTACAATAAGATCTGTTTTAAGAAAGGTGAAGTTTGGCGGAATTTCCAAACATAATTTTTGAAACGCTTCTGTCGGAAGTTTTGCCGTCTTCTTTTCTTCGCCGTCCTTTTGAGTAAGTTCACGATTTTGGATTCGAGGACTGCATGGGTGTTAGTTACGTCAGGACCAAGTGAATTATCCGTAGTAGAGAAGTTTCGGTATAATAGATGAGTTTTGTAGGTTTATCTGTATCAGTTACAATCCATACATTACCTTTGAGCAGGTTCCAAACGCTCTGTTAGCACAGCTGACCAGCGCCAAAAGAGAGTGAATACAAACTGGATCCAACACGTCTTCGTAATCACACAAGCGCAAGGCCTAGGAGCAAATAATTTGGTTTCCAGTTTCAGCATGCAAACTATTGCGACACAAGACAGTGAACGACGTGACAATGCAGTTGAATTTGCTGCTTTAGAAACGGCAAGGAGACTGGGCCGAGTTAACTTCGCAAAGACTTCTGGGACTGTTAACAGGGATAGGGGAAAAAAATTGGCCAATAGCAGCATCCCCAATGACGAACCCAGAAGCAATTGCGGCACCACATTTCTGCTCCAGTTATCTTCTCGTTTCTAAAGTTGAGTTTAACAAATGTTACAGCAAGTCTGTGCCTTTATTACTTACGGTCTTCATTGCAGCGTCAATAGCTCCCTCGTACATTTGTCTTTGTGCTAAAAGAAAGAAGTGGTATGCCTGGAAAAGGGAGAACGGGGTGAAAGAAGTTAGCTCCAAAGAGTATCCAAAACTAACACCAAGAAAAACTGCAGCAAATGTCGATTTGTAAAATTCTAAAAAGAAATTAGGTCTAGCTTGCGAAAGTAGAAACTAATACATAGTACCAGGTGATTGAACGTATGAGATTATTTGGATGGTTACCTCCGCTCCACGCCATGCGTTATCGATAATTTTACTCTCGTCTGTGGCAATGGCGTCTTCTTCAAGCAAGCCAGCCAATGCTGATGTTGCCTGCCAAACAAAAGAAATTAAGTATTAGAACTTCAAGTTTAAGCGTGAATTTTATGGGTCAGTGCTGGAAATAAATGATAATAATGTTAATAAGGGCTCCAACAGAACTTGTGTTTAGATTGAGACTGCAATATAGTTAAGTGAAATAACATCATTATTTATGCAAAATATTTTACCCTTTCTGATTGGCTTAAACCTTCCTACAAATTCTTTAAAACAAGCTACAANGGCAAAAAATTTGAAACACTAAAACAAAAACACGCCCTTTTTTCTGTAAAAACCGCGTGGGGCACAAGTGTTTGAGATATAATCCTGGCCCTCCCTTCCCCTTCCTTTCAAAGTTTTTCCCCCAAGTTTTGAGGTGGGGTTTTTATTGCCGGAAACTTTGAAAAAGGGGGGGGGGGGGGGGGGGGGGGGAGGTCACTAGAACAAGATCATGGACAGGCCATTTATGCCAAGATACGGTACAGTGTCTCAAGTACTTTAGCAATTGGTTGTATCGTTGACCAAATTTGGGAAGATATTTTCCGACATCAATACAATGGAAGTCAATTTTACTGATGTCGACAGAAAAAAAAAAAGAGGCAACAGGAAGGCCATGTTTTTACCGAAGCGGAAACCAGATATGAAAGTGGATGTGATCTTCGCGGTTAAACAAACAATTTAAGCGGTTGAAAGGAACCCTGAAAAAATTGAGGCTTGACCAAGAATCGAACCCTGGCCTTGAACTGGCTCAGATGGCCGCCTCACTGACTGAACTATACCGGGTATATTATAACTGACTCAGCTGAGCACTTTACAAGATTGAAGCTACTACTTATCTCATTCTACCTGCCACTATAATCACAATACCTCGCCGTAAATATTCTGAAAGTCAGAGACGCAAAAGAACAATTAAAGCACAAAATCTGAACTACGCTAAACTGGATTTGTCGACAGCACGAAGGTTGTTTCTCACAAAAGAGGGTTGTAATGCTGTTGATCTATGTTCTCCTTGGCTCAAATTCTAATGTTCTTCTTTTTGGAAATGGTCATGTATAATATATAAAAAATATATTATAAAAAATTGACAAATTGAACATCACAAAAATAAAGAATGATAGCCGCGACTATGCTATTGAAACAGCCTTCTTTTAACTTTTCTGTTTTTCCACACCTGGAAGAAATATCCCGCGTTTAACTTTGTTAAGGTTTATAGAGTTCAAGGATTTACTCTTTCGATAGCCGAGCTTTCAGCCTCATTCTAAAAGCGAGGCTTGATGCAAAGCTTTGAAAGAGATAAGGAGCGCAATTTGTACATCTTGTAAATTAAAAAAGTAGAATATGGAAGAGAGTGGACTAACAAAGCAAACTTGTATCAATTAGATCGTACTACATAGAAGACTACGTCTGTAACGTAACGCAACCAGACGTAACGTAAGATAACGTAACGTACCGTAATGAAATGAAATAAAATGTAATTTTGTGTAATGTAATATCAAAATATCACAGATAAGAGGACAACAGCACGTGTCCTCTGTAAATTGTATATATGACCAGTAAGCTCGGAATTCAGCTTACGATGGAGCCAGAAGCTGCTGCTGTCTGTCTATTTATATCAGGTGACTTTATAAGATGTATGATAAACAACGTGATAACGAACGTAGAGGTCTATCTAAACTCCAAAAATCTTCCCTTAGGGACGGACCATTAGAAATGTACAAAAAAGCGTGATGCACGTGCAAAGTTGTTGTGTTGCTATTTAACCTGTTGCCTTTTTGACGTTCCCGTTGTCGTCGCCGTCGCGGCATCTTAAAGTCCTTAATACCTACCACCAGCATCACAAATAGTGCCCTACGCCCACTCCCACCTGTCCCACCAGTACTACCAACAGTAGTTTCCGCGATACCAAGAAACAACTTACAAAAGGGGGAGATGAAAAAAAAAAGAAGGGTATATCTTTGCTTATCTTGAGAAAATAAAACCGTGACAGTGAGGCAATCTACATAGTTAAAACGAGCCGTTTAGATTTAATATATTTTACAAGGTTTAAATATTTGTACAAGAGTTACAGTCTTACAGCGACTCAAGATATTTTTAAAGAGCATTTTTAAGAATACAATCAATAACTCGATTGCCACCATGGCAATGACGACTTCAAGTCTCAAAAAGCTCCAAATTAGTTTAACCTTGTCACTGGACTAAGCCAAATCATCTTTTCGTCTATTACACTAATTCAACATCCGGTGACCCGGTCTAACTCAAACCAAAGTGGACGTTTTACTCTCTGTATTGAAATGCAGCCACTTTGTCGACACACGTGTTTGCATACAGTCAACTATTACTTAGCAAACACCTAAAGCTGGTTCCTGCCATGACAAGTAGTGCATCACCCGTTCAATCAGTAAAACACAACTTGGATAACATTTAACTTCTGACCAAGAATAAGAAGGCTCTGGGAGCAAAGTTGAAGAGGTGCAATGTATGTATTTGTCAAAAGTCAGACTGGCGCATGACATAGTGGACAATGGTTCAGAGCGCTGATTTCTTGCTCGTAGGCTCGGTGTTTACATGTGCCACACATCCAGAACTGATAGTCCATCAGCGGACGACCACTCACAATGCATGTTGGGAATTTGGTATCACAATTCGGACAAACTTGGCTCCTATGAAAGACGAAAACGAAAAAATCACACCAGGAAAAAAAATTTCCGACCAACCATTTTACCAAACAATTCACAATATACAAAGAGACAAGAGGTTTATAAAACAAACGGCAAGGAAATTATGTTTTCAAGCTTGGCTCCGGAACTTGGTACCTTGTAAGCCCAGATGAAAGAGTACAGGACGAGGTTAAAAAACGTTTTTCCCATTAGAGTTGAAGTTAGCGTAGTTCCGGTTCAGGTTAGATATGCAAGTGGCTGGATGATCAGGCTGAAATAGCGGTCCCGAGTACAGTGAGGGCATTGCGAAATTCTTTTTTAAGGGAAAAAAGGAGTGGTCAAACACAAGCCAACCATAGCCCACATGTAGACCGAAATAGCTGGTGTTTCTTCTAAGTACATGCAGCACCCATGCGTACGCTATATATCATTCAATACAGTCTTTTATAAAATAACTAAGATATTACGCGTGCTCTGATTGGCCCAGAGGAGTGTTTGCATGAGAGTATGTAAACATTGTTGTGGCGTCAAGGTGTTTTGCTTTTCGCGCGCTAATCACGCAAGCACGAATTTGAAAATTTTTCGAGTTAAAAACTCGACAAGTTTACTTTATTTACCCATTTCTTCGTCGGCTGAAACTTGGAAAATCGTTACAAAGAAGGTGTATGAATTTTTTTTTCGCTTTAGCTGACATTTTAAACGAGAAAAGTCCGTATTTTGGAAAGCATCTTTTTGCAAAACAAGAACTGATTACGCGTTCAAGACTTCGTGGACAAGACTTTGCGAATGGTAAGAATTTCTCCTTTAATCAGTGCCATACAAAGAGTTTTGCGTCTTTTCTCGGGAAAGTTATTTTATAAAAGCAACAGAAAACTTTTTTTCCTGTGTTTGCATAGCCTAATATAAACACTCGAGGCGTTGGGAGAATTCTCGACAGTTATGTAAACCCTCGACTTCGTTTCGGGTTTACATAACTGCCTCGAATTCTCCCAACCCCTCTCGTGTTTATATCAGGCTATGCAAACACGGAAAACGTTTTCTATTGTTTAAATTTACTACAAAAAGGCAAAAATACAGGACTACACATGAGCAAATGAATGTGGCGAGGAAGCCAAGAACGAATCAGTAAGACTTATAAATATTGGGCTCCCTCAGCGTATAAAGGTATATGTTTACAAGGAAAAGGATGAAGCGTATACTAAGTTGTGTAATTATGTTTAACCAATGGCAAGCAATCCAGCAACCTAACTGTCAAAACCTAATACATGTACATACCAATCAGGGATCATAGTTTCGCAGCTAGTACACTCCGCCTTGTTACCACGGGAATCCTTTGGTGAGTGTCTACAAACAACAAGATACAATCAATTCTCTGTGACACGGCCACTTCTGGCGCCAGTTATGCGTGTCTGTCTTAGAAAAGTATTCACTTTATAGAGGAGTTCCACGCGCGCGCAAAAAGTGCAGCCCAAAGGCTAAGAAAATTTGGTTATCCTTCCATCCGATAAAATTTGGAAGTCACATGACCGTCCGTCCGTCCGTCCGTCCAGGGGCTAAGCAACGAAAGTGAAAGCTTACACTTTCTAGCTGATATTGCACGTCCAGGTTGTGGTCAATTGACGGCTGTCAAAACAGGATATCCGCTGACCAGTATCATATGCTCATATCACGGGCTTAGGCGTCGACCCATCGAGGTTACGGGTTTTTTTTTGGAGTTATCTGATGTTAAGTTACTAGTTATCAATCGATCGCAGGCTCCAACTCCAAATGGATTTCTTTGCAATGGTTACAACTTTATTGTTTGAAGTAAATTATACATTTAAACGGCAGCTTCGCCTTTAGACAACTGCCCATTCAAGCTTTGACGTGCTTTAACGAGACATACTTAGTGAATATTTCCAAAGCAAGTTCTTCATAAGCATTCTTCTGTTCCTGTGTGAGACTCTCAATCGACTCCAACTTGATAAAAGCCTGAACAAAAACAAAACGCCCCCATAACAGGTACAGTTTATGATATTCCTGGAAAATCTATATCTATTTGCAGAGAGGTAGGATCAAACGCTGGAGCATGCTTTATTACTCACACCAAGCTAATGGCTATTCACAATTTTAAATAAACCGAATATTTCCGATCTAAGGACCATCCGGAGAAAGAACTAACAAGGGCTTTCATTGTGAAGGAGTCCACGTTACGGTATTAGTTAGCTTCAGGGACGGATCTAGGGAGGGGATGCAGGGGGTGCGCACCCCTCCCCCCATGAGATGACCTGCGGCTTTCTAATACAGCTGGTATTCTTCATTAAAATTTGTTTACGTCACCAGTCAGTTACTCCATTCTTTAGTGGTGTAACCACTCCTGGATCCGCCCCTGGACCTATGCAATGGGACAGTAGAGAGAAGAGAACTGCAAAACGTTTGTGTGTGATAAACGTAGAGTTTTGTCGTGATCTTAACCTTACTGTGCTCTGAACTTTTACAATAACATAAAGTTTGGCGGAATTTTCAAACACGCCACGCTGGTCTCATATGTCTTACCGTCTTCTTTCCTTCGCCGTCCTTTTGAGTGAGTCCACTATTATGGATTCGAGTACTGTATTGGTGTTAGTTACGCACTATTATTACGGTATTATAAATGAGTTTTGTAGTTTTATCTGTATCAGTTACAGTCCATACACTACCTTTGAGCAGGTTCCAAACGCTCTGTTAGCACAGCTTACCAGCGCCAAAAGAGAGTGAATACAAACTGGATCCAACACGTCTTCGTAATCACACAAGCGCAGGGCCTAAGAACAAATCATTTAGTTTTCAGTTTCAGCATGCAGACTATCGCGACACAAGACAGTGAACGACGTGACAATGCAGCTGAATTTGCTACTTTAGAAACGGCAAGGAAACTGGGCCGAGTTAACTTCGCAAAGACTTCTGGGACTGTTACTATGGGCCAGAAGAAAAAATTGACCAATAGCTGACCGGCACGTCACCAGTAACGATCCCAGAAGCAATTGCCGCACCACATTTCCGGTCCAGTTATCTTCTCGTTTGTAAAGCTGAGTTTAACACATGTTACAGCAAGTCTGCGTCTTTATTACTTACGGTCTTCATTGCAGCGTCAATAGCTCCCTCGTACATTTGTCTTTGTGCTAAAAGAAAGAAGTGGTATGCCTGGAAAAGGGAGAACGGGGTGAAATAAGTTGACTCCAAAGAGTATCCAAAACTAACACCAAGAAAAACTGCAGCAAATGTCGATTTGTAAAATACTAAAAAGAAATTAAGTCTAGCTTGCGAAAGTACAAACTAATACATAGTACCATGTGATTGAAGGAATGCTAAAGAGATATTATTTGGATGGTTACCTCCGCTCCACGCCATGCGTTATCGATAATTTTACTCTCGTCTGTGGCAATGGCGTCTTCTTCAAGCAAGCCAGCCAATGCTGATGTTGCCTGCCAAACAAAAGAAATTAAGTATTATAACCTCAAGTTTCAGTGTAAAATTAAGGGTCAGTGCTGGAAATAAATAATAATAATGTTAATAATTATGCAAAATATTTCACCCTTTCTGATTGGCTTTAACCCCCCGGCAAATTCTTTAAAACAAGCTACAACCAGTTGCAAAATACTCCCACGAAAACACGACCTTTCACAGGTCTGTGAGATATAATACTGACCTCCCTCCTCCCTCCCATTCAAAGTTGTTCCTCCAAGTTTTGAGCATGGTCTTGTACTGCTAGCATGCAACTTTGATAATAGGGAACTTAAGATGGAGACGTTTTCGGGGCGACGGCGACCGGACTGGCAGAGAAAGCCTGGAACTAAGGCAGCCGTCGCTCCCCGTCAAAAATAGAACATTAAGATCGCAGTGAACTCAGAAGGACGGCGCCTTTAATTAGAAGAATACCGAAGAGGAAAATATGGCTTCACATAAAGAATTAAGAGAATAAATATTTGCTATGCAGACAACATGTATCGGATGAAGAGTTTCTCGTTTTGTGGGAAAATTATGAGTCCAAAAATCCCGATTTTCCTCGGGTCAGTTACGATCCGTTCACGCTAAAAAACATGCGGGATGCAGCTGAGTTCAAGGCAGAATTTCGTGTTGAAAAAAAATGATCTTCACAGGCTTACCGAAGCCTTGCAAATTACAGGAACATTAAAATGCTACCAAGGAACCGTATTCTTAGTTTGGCATTGAAATAATTCCCGGGAAATACTTGCATGCAACAACAACAACAACGGCAACAACTTTATTTCAGTATTCCCACGCCGAGTTAGTACATGGTATTACCTACTATTCTATATAATTTTCAATGCGTTTCTTTTATACGATATTCTAAAGAAAAGAGCGAACTAAAAACACACAATTGAAATATCGGAGTTCATATTTTTTGTCTGGATACTTTTATTTGGCTCGTGGGAAAATTTTGTCCCATGTCAAGCTCACTTACGGTTGGCTGTTTGCCAAGTTGGATCTTGACCCTGTGACATCAAAACATAGAAACATTCAAAGATGTAAGTTTAGCGAACATAGCTTGGAAATCGAGCTTGAAATGTGCCTCAAAGAAAACAAGGACAATTTAAGAACGATAATCTGCAAAATGTTGGTTGCTAAACGCAACAAACCTGATTGAAATGACAGTTAAATACTCACGTTTTCGCCACAACGCCAAACAGACCAGTTTCACGTCGCCGACGGGACCACGACGGCAAGGTGGTGAGCACGAGCATGCGCAATATCCAACAAATGATGATGTCACGTCCGGTTAAAGTTGCCGTCGCCCCGAAAACGTCTCTATCTTAAGTTCCCTAATGGGTGGGGGGGGGGGGGGGGACCACAAGCATAAGATCATGGACAGGCCATTTATGCCAAAATACGGTAAAGTGTCTCCAGTACTCTTGCAACTCGTTGTACGGTTGACCAAATTTGGGAAGATATTTACCGACAGTCAATTGTACTGATATCCACAGAAACAGGAACAGGAAGGCCATGTTTTTACCGAAGCGGAAACCAGATATGAAAGTGGATGTGATCTTCGCTGTTAAACAAACAATCTAAGCGGTTGAAAGGAACCCTGATAAAATTCAAGCTTGACCAAGAATCGAACCCTGACCTTGAACTGGATCAGATGGGCGCTTCACTAACTGAACTAAAACTGAACTATACCAGGTATATTATAACTGACTAAGCTGAGCACTTAACAAGATTGAAGCTACTAATTATCTCATTCTACCTATCTCTATCTCTCTCTATCTCTCTATCTCTATCTCTGCCACTACACTCACAATACCTGGCCGTAAATATCCTGAAAGTCGGAGACACAAATGAACAATTAGAGCACATAATCTGAACTACGCTAAACTGGATTTGTTGACAGGAGAAAGATTGTTTCTCACAGATGACGGTTGTAACGCTGTTGATCAATGTTTTCTTTGGTTCAAATTCTAGTGTTCTTCTTTTTGGAAATGGTCATGTATAATATCTTTGAAATTGGAATAAAAAATTGACAAATTGAACATCACATAAATAAAGAATGATAGCCCCGACTATGCTATTGAAACAGCCTTCTTCTAACTTTTCTTTTTTCCACACCCGGAAAAAATATCCCGCGTTTAACTTTGTTAGCGTTTATACAGTTCAAGGATTTACCCTTTCGATAGCCGAGCTTTCAGCCTCATTCTAAAAGCGAGGCTTGATGCAAAGCCTCGAAAAACATAAGGAGCGCAATTTGTACATCATGTAAATTAAACAAGTAAATTATGGAAGAGGACTAACAAAGCAAACTTGTATCAATTAGATCGTACTACATAGAAGACAACGTCTGTAACGTAACGCAACCAGACGTAGCGTAAGATAACGTAACGTAACGTAATGAAATGAAATGTAATGTAATTTTGTGTAATGTAATATCAAAATACCACAGATAAGAGGACAACAGCACGTGTCCTCTGTAAATTGTATATATGACCAGTAAGCTCGGAATTCAGCGTACGATGGAGCCAGTGGCTGCTGCTGTCTGTCTATTTATATCGGGTGAATTTATAAGATGTATGATAAACAACGTGATAACGAACTTTGAGGTCTATCTAAACTCCAAAAATCTTCCCTTAGGGACGGACCATTAGAAAAGTTATGGGGATGGGGGGGGGGGGGGGGTTTTNTATTGAAACAGCCTTCTTTTAACTTTTCTGTTTTTCCACACCTGGAAGAAATATCCCGCGTTTAACTTTGTTAAGGTTTATAGAGTTCAAGGATTTACTCTTTCGATAGCCGAGCTTTCAGCCTCATTCTAAAAGCGAGGCTTGATGCAAAGCTTTGAAAGAGATAAGGAGCGCAATTTGTACATCTTGTAAATTAAAAAAGTAGAATATGGAAGAGAGTGGACTAACAAAGCAAACTTGTATCAATTAGATCGTACTACATAGAAGACTACGTCTGTAACGTAACGCAACCAGACGTAACGTAAGATAACGTAACGTACCGTAATGAAATGAAATAAAATGTAATTTTGTGTAATGTAATATCAAAATATCACAGATAAGAGGACAACAGCACGTGTCCTCTGTAAATTGTATATATGACCAGTAAGCTCGGAATTCAGCTTACGATGGAGCCAGAAGCTGCTGCTGTCTGTCTATTTATATCAGGTGACTTTATAAGATGTATGATAAACAACGTGATAACGAACGTAGAGGTCTATCTAAACTCCAAAAATCTTCCCTTAGGGACGGACCATTAGAAAAGTTATGAGGGTGGGGTGGGGGGGGGGGAGAATTTTTGAGCCGCAGGAATTTTTTTCGTCATCAAATTCCCTGTATGAATTTGTTTTAGGCCGTAGCATGAATATTTTTTAAGGTTAATTGGCGTGCATGAAGTTTTTTTCATTTAATTTTCCCTTGCGTGAATATTTTTTTTGCACTTCACCCGCCCCTCCCCATACGTTTTCTCATGGTCCGTCCGTTATAAAGCCTAGGTTCCCTGAAACTGCTCCACGCACCTCTCTCTTGCTTTTCTTGTCTTTTCCAGATGCCGTTTTCATGCTCGTCATCTTTACGTGCTCGTGGTAGTTTTCGACCTGTCAGTTAACACAAAAACCTTTGTTATTGGTTCAAAACTCAATACAACATGATGAATTTATTAGTTGTTATTTATTCATTATTCTGTAAAGTGGGTCGTTTTATAGTCATACTATAATTAAGAAATAATACCTACCAGTAGAGCAGCAAGAACGTACAACTTCTTCGCTCGAAGGGGGTTTGTCTTGGCGTCCGAAACCTCAGCGGCGACCTGAATTTAACAATAAAAATAATAAAACAAGAAAAAAAATCCTGCAACCAAAAATTGTTTAACAAATGTTCAGAGTGTGCAGTCGTCGTATAGGGGTGCAAACAAAAAATGGTTGTTAACAAAACACCAACAAATAATAAATTCTATCCAGTACTTACTTTAAAGAGAAGTTTTGCGGCATCAATAAAATGATTTGCTTTTCGGTACCTGAACATTGTAAAGGGGTTTACCATTATGTGGACATTTTTACAATAATTAAGCGATTTCTCGCTCGCTGATTGGTCGAGAGCTATGGTCGATAAGAGTGCAAACCATAGAAATGACGTGATGGTTACGCAATTTAATTTCTCTTTTTCATGGTCTATACTCTTATAGACCATAGAAATGACGCCAAAAATGTTCAAACCTTTGCAGTGAAACCACCAGCCAGAGGCTCGTGGTTCCACTTGAGTTTTGAACATTTTGATGTCTTTTCTATAGTCTATAGGAACGTTGTTGTCTATTTGTTAATAAATGCGAATAATTTAAAAATAAAAATGCGCAAAGCACTATTTTCCGCAGCGGAACCATAATAGGCCACTTCCGAGTTCCAAAACCCCTCACTTTCAAAACGAGGTCAAGTGCACAACCTTTCTTGCGAAAATTTGCATAAGAATGAAAAATCATTTCCATATCAAAGGCTGAGCCCTTAACCGTTAAGGGTTCAGAGGCCCGAGGAAACTCGGAAATGGCCAGTAGGCCACTTCCGAGTTCCATAAACCCTCACTTTCAAAATGAGGCTAGGTGCACAACCTTTCGTGTGAAAATGAGTTTTATTTGCATGAGAATGAAAAATGATTTCCATATTGGCTTGCAGTCCACTATTACCCACTTTGCGCGAGAGACTGGGTCGGTGCTGAGTCGAATTGCACTATGGGCATGTTTCGGTACGCTAACGCCTCTTTCGTTGACAATAGGCCATTTCCGAGTTTCCCCGGGCCTCCGTTTCAAAACGAGGGTAGGTGCTCAGCCTTTGATATGGAAATGCTTTTTCATTCTCATGCAAATAAAACTCACTTTCACAAAAAAGGTTGTGCACCTAGCCTCATTTTGAAAGTGAGGGTTTCTGGAACTCGGAAGTGGCCTATTGCAAGGTTGCGCAGAAGACGGGGGCAAAATTTGTCCTCCAAGACAATCCCATAACGCAGTTCAACACAACAGCGATTCATGGAGTATCACGCGCAGCCTCAAAATGGTCCACACACAAAGACATCTACAAAAGGATACAGCTCTATTGCATCAAGTGTTTTGTTCTTCTCCAGGAGATACGAGGCGTATTTGGCCAATAGTGTGTCAATCTCTTTGATGTTATGCTGCTTTGCTAGCTCAATAGCTTGGTCCCATTGGTTTAGTTGAACACAACAGTCGATAGCTTCTTTCACTTTTCCTGTCTGCAGAAACAGAAATACAAAAGCGAACTAGTGTTTAGATTAGTTCGGCAAAAGGAATTTTCGCAGGTCTGGATAAAACAACTGAAGGTTGGGTTAAGTAAGTAGTAGTCACAGAACTGTAGCAAGCTGCCTCTTGTTGCCTGGTTTCAAAGACAATACAATTCGACGGAACAAAGTCAAGCAGATACTAGTCTCTCTTTGAGCCATACACACACAAAGAATGCCTATCTGTATAACGCGCACAGCTGCTCCACAATAGGCAAGGTGGTCAAAATAGGACTTACCTTGGTAAACGCGGTCACGGCCTGTTCACACATACCAACCGCGGAAAACATTCCGGCAATTTCCTGTAGAAAGCAATGTTCATCACAATTAGTGTTTGTAGGCTTTTTTCGATGTTGTTGTTTTTCCGTTTAGGGGGATTACACTCACAATCAAAGGGAAACGTAGACAATCTGATTGAAACTTCAGGGACATTGTAAATTTAGAAAGACACCATAACATGAAAGGGACTATTTCCCCGTGCACTAACCGATAACAGGGCGTGGTTTTCTGGCAAAGTATTGACCATTTTCTCCAAGCCACTGTAGTCTTCAAGCATATAGTAACACTCTGCCAGACGAGCCTGATTTCTTCCTTGTACGTAATATGTGACCGCGTTCTGCCATTTCTGCCGATCAGCGTAATAATCTCCGATAGCGTTCCAGGCCTGCTCCAACAGTTGGTCATCACCTAAAAAAGTTTATACTCATGTGAGAAGGCTGTTTTAGCTCGTCTGAACACAAAAACGCCTTAAAAACTATTTCACTTGCAACGAAAGAAAGCATTCACAAAAGAAAAGAGTTCAACTCCCACAAAGACATCAACATTACGGACGCGGCGTCATGTAAAAAGGCTCTATTTTTGTATGAACTGGTTTCATCTCCACAAAAGAGTCAGTGTGTCAAGCAAGGAACAAAAAATCATCTACCAGTTATTATATTGATAACCTAGGGGGCGGAGCAAGTATCCTACAGTACACAGCCGGTTTTTGTATCGTCAAGCAAGGGTCCTTCCCACAAGGAGGAGTTGCGTGACTACACAGAGTACGGCTGCGTGAGAGACTTAGGCGAAGGCTTGATGGGAAAAATGGCATTAGTCATAGCAATAAAGCTTATAGCTGAGACATATCAACGACAATCATTTCCGAAGTTTCCTAATTGTTTTACAGTGTATGTTGATATTAAGGCAAACGGCTAAATACGAACTGTTCGAGGAAGGGATAAGGGTAAAGAGTTACTCACCCCCTCCTCCCCCAGTCTTCAGAAGTTGAACAACTCTGAACCAGTCCCCAAGCTTCAGCCTGAGGTCAACAGCAAGGTCTCTGAAAAATTCACAACCACCAGCAAATTTCATTTAACTTCGCGATATTTCACTTTTTAATATCCATTATGTTCAGCATTCAAACAAAACATAGAAAAACAACAACAATAAAATGATAATACCTTCTGTCCATCTCCAAGTATAGTCTTTCAGCCTCTTCGAATCGCTTGAAATAAGCAGCAACCTCAGCCTTCTTCTTGGTTTCGTTCTGTAAAAGAATGACGGTTTTTCTTTCTCATTTCTTTTTAAGCTACCCGCAAGCGCTCCATAACTCTCCACCTTAGACATAGATATACTTTGCCTCTCTCATCCGAGAGCTAAACCAACCAACCAACCAAACAAACAAACACAACGGAAGACAAAACTTAGCAACAAACTTACATCTAGTTTCGCAAGTTTCTTGACAAACTTGATTCCTTGGTAATCCTGGCAACGAACAAAAGCTTTCTCTGCCACCTCTAGTTCCAGTCTTTCAAGAGAAGACTCGGCCAACAAACGCCTTCGGTAAAAATAGAAAGCATTACACGCATGTGAAGGTTTGCTGATAGAGTTAAAATATAAGCGCCTCACTAAAGATCTAAACGTTAAAAAATGGGATACTCGGGTACTGAAACAACACTCAAGCAGAGATTACTAAGTTTTACGTTTTTTTCACGTGTTGAATTCATTTCGAACCAGCTAGTGCGAGCGAAAGATTCGTGTGGTCTTCAGAAAGGAGGTAAATTTTGCTAATCGTCGGAAATCTTCAAAAAGCTCTACGCAACCAACGAAGCTTTGTAATTATTGCCTTCTTTCCCGTTTACTCATACACTGCCTTTTTCTTGAAAGGCTTACAGAAAATAGAAAATCTTCGGAGGTATTCGGTTCTCAACAAACTTTCTCGAAAAAAATCGGGAAAAAAAATGAAAACTGTTCCGAAAATAGGACGGAAATTTTTCAGAACCCGCCGTAGGAAATTCTCTAAGCTTCATTGCTGGTGTCCTGTATATACCCCCCACATACGAAATTTTCGGCTTCTTGTGATGTGAAATTAGGGTACAAGGGAGTGCAAAAAGTGCAACAACGTGATAACCATACCATAATCTTGGATGTGGATTATCCTCAATGAACTGATAGGCATCAGGAATACCGACTTTTTCTAACAAATCACCAGCGTCACGCAAGGACTGTTAAAAAATGAGACAAACAACAATTACAAGTAATGTGAAAGAAATGATTACTACAACAGAATATAGCTACATTACTCCTACCAATGAAAATACTCATTGGGTTATTTGGCTATTTCAAAGTCATGGTGACGTCTAGCAACGAAACGGTTTCCCGCGAAGAGTCTATGAGCGGGCAATAATGGAAAACCTATCAACTTGCCACTGTTAGTTGGGAATACTGACCGCTAGCGGCTATTATTTTTAATTATTGAATATATCGATAAGCAATCCAAATAGCGTTGATGCCTTTACCTCTACTAAAGCCTCGGTTTTTCTACATAACCATTCATTTAATTGCCGTGTGAAAATCGTTTTTTTTTTTTTTATTTATTAACCAAAGAAAGACATGACCCTTATTTTACTCACTTAGTTATGTAATGCATACAATCGAAAAAAAAAGGGGATAATTCCGGTTACCCAATTCCGGTCCAGGGAACGCAGGAAATTGCATTTTAGAGAGACCAATTTTACCAATTTTCCCGGGGGGCATGACCCCGGACCCCCCTAGGAGTTCGTGCCTCCGGAACTCAACGTGCGCGCCAGCGGCGCGAACGGTGCACGTTCGCCAGCTGAACCACTGCATCCGGTACTTCCAAATGCTACCGAAAACCCTGGCTGTATGTAAGATGGTTTCGCAGACTTCCTGGTATAGGTGTGTAGCTACACAGTCGAGTTTGTTTATCTTACCTTAACTTCCAAGTCGATGAGGTTTTCCTTGTTTGGATGGTCAGGATCCTTTCAGAAAAGCAAAGGAAATGTGAAAGTCACAAAGCATTAAGAATAAGAAACAAAAGCGTGTGAAAGGTATTGCAGAGAGATGTTGACATTGTTTTCGGTTTTCATCCGCGTGGGTTCTCTTACATCTGACAAGAGACGCATCAGTAAGGCACGGTTCAGGCGCCGAACTTTTCACGAGACGAACCGAATATATTGAATTAAGCACATAAAAGGTTTGGCGTCTGAATCAATTAGGAACGCCTGTTTTCATTTGTAGCGGCTTAGCCGTTGTTCCCGCCCAGCCCGACCAGGAATATCGACTTTGGGTCGCCTTTAGCGCGGCTTTGATTCAGGACGCCAAGCTTTTCATGTACCGAACCTAATACATAAATTATTATAACGTCGAAACGAGCAATTTCCTCCTTTTGAATTTAGTTCAGCGGTAATTAACATCGGCGTCTGAATCAATTCAGCGGGTCTCATGAAAAGTTCGGCGTCTGAACCGGTCCTAAAAGTGCGGCCGTAAAAGTGCTGTGAGATGATGAGGCCTTGGGTTTTACTTCCTTACCCGAGAAGAAAACGATGTCTAACCATTTGTAGGTATCAGAACCAAGACAGCACTTTCTCGCCATTTTCTTTAAGACTCTAAATGGTGATATGGCCCGGAATCGAATCCGAGCCTATCACTCTGAAGTCTGGTACCCAGTCAACGGTCAAAAATTCTTGCGAAAGTTACCATGAAGCAGTTCCTTTCTGCAGTGTCGTTCATCATTCTATATAAGGTGGTTCTGACGTTAAAGAAGCTGTGTCACGAAATTCAGCCAAATTAGGGAATTACAAAATACCCGTTAAATTAAGAGAAACATAAAAATAACCGCTTAAAACTTTAAAGGAAGGTTAAAATAACATAACAGAAACAACAGATGCCACGGATGGGCAAAACTGAAGAAGATTGAAACGGATTGAAATTAGGATTTTTGAAAACTGTTCAGCCTAACAGTTTTTCAAAGTTGATTCCTGCTGCTTGCAACTTTAAAAATAATGCTCAGGAGACATATTTGTCTGTCACGGATCTCTGATTTTGTCATTTACATGTAATTTCTTTGCTTACTTTAAGTTCCATAGCGATTGAGGGCGAGTAATTGGAAAAATTGAACACAATGAACTGGACTGCCGTGACACAGCCCCTTTAAGTTAAAGAAAGCCTCGAGTATGACCATTCGAGAGAACTTATACTAACAGCACTCTTGCAATAAAATTATTTCAAACGATTATCGCTCCTCTAATTCAACAGGTCAGCGTTAATCAGCATTTCCTTCTCTTTTTTTCCCCGTTCTGACACTAGGAACTCTTATTCTGCAGAGGATTTGATACAAACCTTCATTATCTCATCAAGTAGTACAGCTCTCACTTCTAAGTCATTGAACTGACAAATGTATCCAGAGCTCAAAATTGGCTCCTAAAATAGGGTGCAGCATACCAAAATTAAAGGCAAAATAATAAATGGGGAAATCATTCACAACCTACATTGTAACGGCTTGTCAAAGGGAACATACCCACCGATAAGGTAATGAATTCCAGTCTTAGTTGCTTTCTCTGCTTCAGTTATTGGATCATTTAAGACCTTTACATTTAGCTGACAATACGAGCCTTACGTACGAATGCGAGCCGAGTTTTCCTTACAACGGGCCTCAGTATGAAAACGAGGTTAAGTGCTCAGCCTTTGATATGGAAATGATTTTTCATTCTCATGCAAATAAAACTCATTTTCACAAGAGTGGTGGTGCATTTGGCCTCATTTTGAAAGTGAGGGTTTTTGGAGCTCGGAAATGGCCTATTTTTTTAGATAACCATTCGTCACAAAACAATTATCTGTTACCGCTCCGTATGTCAGGTCGGCAGCAAGAAAAAGCGAGAACATAGAGGTTTTTACACTAGTTTGAAATTCCATAATCCTCCGCTCGCCAGTTATCTTGTACTACTAGTCAAATCTAATGGTCGCTTTAAATGAATTAACGTAAAATTCCGAAAATAAGCCCCGGGGCTTATATTTTCCAAAGGCCCTTTTTGAGGGGCTTATTTGTGGAGGGGCTTATCTACGGAGGGAAATTTGCGTTTCAAAATCGACTGGCCTAGCCTTATAGTTTGAAGTAAATTTACCGCTTTTGCTTTGTTTTACTTTGTATTTGAGGCCAATTTTCCACGTACAAGCCCCCGGGGGTTTATATTTGGAGGGGCGATTTAACGGAGGGTTTTTTGCGTTATCGGTTTGGGGGGCTTATATTTGGAGGGGCTTATACATGGAGGGGCTTATTTTCGGAATTTTACGGTAGACTACAACAAAAGATAAAGTGGGATATTGTGCCCACGCTTCAACGAATACCTCAGGATCCAGATTGCGGAATATATACATTCGTGTCTTCTCCATCATCGCAAACAACTCAGCATTATCCTTCAAAAGTAAAGAACAAAGAAATGAGCTGACCGAAAGGGGATGAACAAATACATAAGGAGACAGCAGAAAAGCGTAAATAAAGGAGAAGAGAGTGTTGTCTCTTAATTAAACTTCAAAAACTGTAAATAGATATTTACTCAGACTAGAAACGCTTTTCAATTGTTTTTTGTTTGCATGAGCTGAGTGGAAATGGCTTTTAAAAAATTAAAAACGATCACATCATTGACTTGTGAAATGAAAAAAATTATGTTTGCAGCTAGCATCCACCTTAGCCGTTCTTCATGTTTTCACGAGGTTGCGCTGCAAACTGGGTAAAATTTCGTCCCACAAAATAGTCCCAAAATGCACTTCGCCAAACAACATCAACTCATTCTTTTGAGCAACCTTCAAATGGCTAATTATGTAAAACAACTTTCCCGCTTTTATCAGCAGTTGAAAACTGGGACTGAAGTTCTTAAAGGTTTACGGAAAAAGGACGCCCGCGCCTTTGAATAGTAAGGCGCTTTAGCAACAACGACGGCGACGGCAACGAGAAGGTCATAAAAAGCAATGGACTTATCAAGCAAAACACCATATTTGCACGTTCATCACACTTTTCTTGTACATTTCTCTGCCGTCTCTGCAAGACTACGACGTAAAAATGCGTAATTTCACGTTTTATGGAGGACGTAAACCAGCAACGATGAATTTTTCTCTCTCTTTCTAAACTCAAGTGCGGTCCCCTAGAAATCAACTCCAGGGAAATTCGCCCTCATTTGACATTTCAAGCGAACTGGAATAAACGCGGAAAATTGTGAAAAAACGCGAATTCATTTTAATTTTCAAGTGATGTTTTCGCTGCCGTCGCTTTTGTCGGTGCTAAAGTTCCCTAGTGACTGAATTGTGACTCGCTCTAAAGGACTTGCTGAACGAGCCAACGATGCAGCTTACGTCTGCCCATTTCATATCCCACACATCTTTTCTTTCAAACTTCAGATGTTCGCCTACAACAGTTTCATTTTTTGTGATGTCTGTTTTCCTCACATCCTGTGAAAAAATGAAATTCATTGTGAACTAATCTAACACACAACGAATTGTCGTAAAAATAAGGGTCTATATTACACTAAAATTTCTGTGAACTGACCTAACACACGTACGAACTGATGTGTATGAATCCACCTCACGGGAAAGAATTAACCTGATAGATTTGAACGAAAGGGCGGCAACTAACTAATGATATTCTTTCTAACTTACCAAGTCAAAGAATGATAAGACTCCGGAGATGTCAATGATAGCTAAGCGACTAAGAGAAAAAAAGAACAACGTTTTAAAAAGGTAGAAGTATTTTTTTTTTGCCCGTTAGAGCTAACACAAAATTTCATAAATACAAAAAAAGACAACGATATCCGCTGAAAACCCTTTGAACCACTGTGTGGTTTAAGTGCTTGAAATGCTGCCCCGGCCCGACCTCTATCCCTCTCCTCTGAAGAGCCTTTCTCTTACAGAGAAAGAAAGATCGCTTTTTGGTTTTAAAATTGACTACTAAGTCCAAACAAAGACTTAGAGGACCAATAGATACCTGAAGATTCCAGAAAATTTAAAAATACTAAACAGACAATAGCAATTGGGTCATTCTTTCGCTGGAATTCTTCAATAAACTCACGCCAAATCTTGAGATACCTTGAAAAAGTCATACGGTCAACGCGAACTCCAGAGTAGTTATTCATTAAAAAAGAAGACTAAAATTGATTATAACTTGCGATCTTACGACGAAATGCAGTTGAGTGACAGTTGGTGTGGACGGCAATTGAGGACATTCTTCATTTCCAGGGCGAGTTTGGGTAAGGAGTATCGGTGAATAGTCCCTGATTCACGACCCTAGAAAATAATGTACAAAATTAACATCGCGTAACCTGAAGTCAATTCTATGGTCAGAAACTAAAACAAATGGACTCTCAGTTTGTACTGAGAAAAGCAAGAATAACAATATGAATAAAACACTAACCAGGATCAGTAATTTTTCGGAAGCACAGATACAACAGACAGGATCATGAGTTGGCTGAAAAATGAACAACAACACGCATTTTAACACAAGTAAAGCTGAGAAGATAGATCAAAACATCGGGAGAGATTTTTAGTGCCAGGTTTCCGTTAGAAACACGCTGTCAGAATCTAAAGCAGCTTAAACGGATGCACATCTCTAATGCGACAATGTCGCAGTTAAAATACTACGTTCATTTGCCTGGCAAAAGAATCCCCTGACGGACGAGACCAGCTTCTGAAAATGTGGCCTGTTCCAGGCATTCAGATTGTGGAGACGGCGGAAAGAGATGCGAGCAGGAAAAAACGGAAACTGAAGGGGGTGGGGTGGGGAGTGAGAGCGAATTTTCTACCCTTCTCTTCCTCCGTATTTTTCCCGCTCTCAGACTACGAGCCGCACTGTACCATCTGAACGCTTAGAACAGCCTACTGAAAATGGAACCAACAGTGATCTACTAGACAGTTAACATGAACACACATACCGCAAGAGCCTTATTAATGTCTTTAATGCCTTCTCCAGCGCCTGATGGTACATCATCGATATGAAACATTCTGCTCAGAAGTAAATTAAGAAAGAAAAACCCTGCTAAACCCATTACGAAATGCGTTTCCTGAATTCTTAGACTGTTGGAACAAATTAACGCCAAACCCTTTAATACGAAAAAAGAACAGGAATCATTTGTCAAAAAAAGTAAAATCAATGATTTTAAAGGAAATATGATAATTATTATCATAGGACTGAATTCAGCGCAAACTGAGGATGCGTCAAGTTGAATTACAGCAAGAGTGTTTTATGAATGTTAAAACATAACGCTCAGCCGAGAGTGGTTAGACTTGATAACACACAAGTTAATTAAAATGCTTTAATTTTTGGAACAACCGTTTGGTTTTCATTATTTTCCCGAGAAAAATGGAGATTACAACTCAGCCGTGTTTTATCAGAATTAGAATCACTCAAAAACATTTACTTCCCATTTTAATTTCCTTATGAATTAATATTGAGTTTTTGAAGTTATAGACAGAAACTCGAGTTAAGGAGTTAAATATTACTTCTACTGGAGATTAATCATATCTTACCGCAGATTTGTATATTCTGGATAGAAAGTCGATCCTCTGTCGCTTAAGGAGTTATGTTTAAAAGAATGAAGAAATGAGTGCAAAGTTACTTGTAAGAAAAGGGTTATAGAGCCTTTTTAAAGTTCGTCACTTATAACTACATGATGGGGGTATGGGAAAGGCTTATCTCTTGCGGTACTAAAGCCAGTTACAAAATACCTTATATCAGATTTATTCACTGTCCAACGTTTGCCGTTAAAAAAGTAAAAAGTCTAATAGGCCTGAACTTTACGGGGTTAGCTCCAACGTTTGACGTTAAATTTTAAGCAAACCGAAGATGTTTGACAGTTTAGGACTCACAAAGACATACGTTTGTGTTAAAACTGTTCATTTCTGGTAAGAAATTCTTACTTCATTCCAAACACCATTTAATTTACATTATATTAATAACACTCTTCAATTGTGGATTCTAAACCCTCTAGCATTTGGGCCGGTGTAAAATAACTGAGAGCAAAAGTACAACAACAACATTACAAAAGCATTTTAAGGCTTATTCACATCAACTCCTTACTAAATTATATTTTAATGTAATTAATTATTAGTATCATTAAAACTTTAAAAGGAAACAAAAAAGTAAACTCATGACTGCATTACGTGTGGGGTTCACTATTCAACAAGTAGGAAAACGATGCCAGCTGAGGGAGAAGAGACTGGAAAGGCTAAACTCAGTCTTAACAGCACCATTCTAGGCCCTTTCCCAGTTGTCCCAAGCCTCTGTTTCAAAGCGAGGCTAAGTGCGAAGCATTGATATAAAAATGATTTCTTATTCTCATGCAAATAAAACTCATTTTCACAAGAAAGGTTTTGAACTAAGGCCCAGGCCAAACGTCGAACTTTTCATGATTTGATTGGTTCGACGAGTCCTAGCTTAGTTTGAGTCGACCCAAATTCGAGTTTGGTCCACTTCGTGAAAAGTTCGACGTTTGGCCTACGCCTACGCCTCGTTTTGAAAGCGAGATATTTAGGAACGCGGAAACGGCCTATTCCAACTCGATCGTGGTTGAATAAAAGAGGAATAATTCCTCAACTGGCTCGACGTAAGAAAAGTAATCTTTCGTACCCCTCCCCTAAGCCAACTTTTTGCCCTAAGTCAGTGTAAGTGAGAAGTAAGTGTTAATGTTGGTTTAGGGGAGGAGTAGGTGGGCAGTTTCCCAGAAACGTACAATGATCCCAACTTAATAGGGACCGGCCGGGTCGGGAGGGGGAGGGGGGGGGACATGTCGCCCGTCTGAATCTTAAAACGTCTCGTGTCGGTGTTTATAAGTGCTTGTCGCTTATTGTCGGCTTTGCCGTCACTGTCGCAATTTGGCCGAGGGAGGTTGTCTCTGGTCGCGATTTCATTTTACGCGCTGTCGCTACTTTTTGGGCCATGTCGCTTGTCAGAATTTACCCTGGCAGGGCCTCTTAGTAGGGGCTAGCTTTTAGCACTTCAGAAGTGTGCTACTACAGACGAAAATAAGAACCAACCTTTCCCTGATATCCTTTCGTTTTGAGTGTGTCTGAAGCTCTAAAGCAGTAAGTTTCTTTGGACTGCGATACTGCCAAGAATAAAAGGCTTCCCTTGATGAGGCGATCACGTGACTCCGAGTCATGGCTACAAAAAGGGGCTCTATAAAGCAAAATAAGTGGACAGTGAGTCAAGAACATCTAGAAAACTTTACTGTCTCCCGTCAGGGAACAAAAAACAGCACCTCACTGCTTACTGGCCTGAGA